TGTAAAAGGGAAATAATTAGTAAAAGCGGAAGTACAAAAGCGAAGTATAAAGGGAAGCTTTGAAACATTTTATAATTTTAATAGCAATTTTTTAACCATAAATTTTATTTTGAATAAATATTAACAAATAAGTGAACTAAGGATAATGAATTGCGTGGGTTTTGGCTTCTGATCTGGGTTACAAAATGGCGCTAGCACATGGATTAAAGTTTTGTACTCCATGTGTTAATGATTGTTGTTTCAGTACACGGATTGAATGATTTACTAAGGATAATGAATTGCATGGGTTTTGGCTTTTGATATGGGTTACAAAATGGCGCTTGGCAACAATCATATTGGCTTTTTTCTTATAGACAATACTAGCCTAGAGCCCGGCCCGATGGCCGGATGCAGCTTCGTTGAGTATCGTAGAATAGTTGGAGATGCAAATTACGTGTGTAAATATTCCATGCACCACGAATGTGTGAGAATAGAGAATCTTGTTTTTTCATTGTTGCTATTATAATATAGCTAGTCACAATTCAATTTTCGCCTAATTATAGCACTTTTTACATAATGGCGCTTCTGAAATTAGGCAAGTGTATGACATACAAAAATCGGTAAACAAATCTGTTGATTAGGCAAGTGTATGACATACAAAAACGATGGTTTATGAATCATACTGAGGATCCAGTGGTTTATGATTAGGGAAGTGAAGACATGCAAAAACAAAGTGGGAATTAGATGAGTACATATTGTTTTGCATACATACTAAGAAATGAACTAAATAAAAGACATACATGTACTTGAAATCACAGAAGTATCTGTTTTTCTAAGTTTGAATATAACACCTACAACACAAGAACAATATAAATGTACTTCTTCTACTACCGAAAGGATGAAATGGACAAAATAAAATTGGAATTCATATCTCCTAGTTCTGGCTTTCCTTGATTCCTTCTCTGATAAACAGCTGATTCATCCATTAGTCTTACCACCTGAAATAATAACAAAAGTAGAAGCTAATTATCAAATCTAAAGCCTCAATTGTGTTAATAAATAAAAATATTCTACTGTATTAGAAATAAAAAAGGGAAGACATATACCTTCTTCGAATGCAAAATGAGAACAGAATTTATAAGTTCAGTTTAAGATCCAGTAATGGTTGAAATGCTTTTGGATTCCAAATTGTAAACATGTGAATCTGTGGTTGAACTTGATATTCTTCTCCAATGATGTATAGTTCTGCCATGAATTTCTTGTTACAGCATTCTTTCAGCAACTGAACTCGCTTGTCATATGGCATTTTTTTAAACTCGATCGGTGGCAAACGAAGCAGAGCAAGAGCAGGTGCATGATTAATAATGACATTTGCCTTGTGATTTCCTCATTCACATTCAGCCTGCAGTTCATAGAATAATCTGAAGAAATATGTAGATTAGATTCATTTAAACAATGTATATTAGTTTTATAATAGGCAATCAGAAAGGAAAGGTATTTGCAAATACTTAGTGTCTCCAGGAAAAACTTCACGGGTCATAGAACGAATGTCGAATTTGACTATTTTCAGTTTGCACCGATAGAGTATCTGTCATATGGTTTGATATAGGAGGAATACCAAAAACAGAATTTAGCCATATTTGAAAACACTGTTACTATTGAAAGTCAATTTGAAACATATTTCTATTTCTGAAGTATAATTCTTTAACAAATATATAACAGAGCATAGAAGGTAATGATAGATACCTCTGTTTCTTCTTCTCCTAAAGGCAGCTTGTTGGTCAATTCTAATAATGAGATTCTAGGTGGAATGTCACGCCGAAGATATCCAAGCCGTTCTTTTGATTTGTAATCAATGATATCCACAGGCAGTCTATTAGAAAAGAACCTACAGTGTGTTGAAAGTTAAATTAGACAACTTCTTGGAAAAAACATGCAAAATATATTAAAAGTGAACATATAAATATAGCAATTTACCTGTTCATTAAATCTTTGGTCATCTCATTGTACGAATGTACTATAAGACGACTGGCAGGAGATGTTACAAAATAGAACTGTGGAATATGGTCATATTCGTGGATATTTCGGGTGAGAGCTGTTGCTGTCACAACCAGAGGATAAAAAACTTCTTTGGCAAGAGCACTTTGAAAGAAATCTTTAATTCTTGTGCCAATATAGCTCACAAGTCCTTTGTTTCCACTATAAAGGTGGAAAACGGAGTATAAGTATGATTATAGACTAATCTTGATTCCAGCAAGACATTAGAGTAACTAATAATAAGTTATACCTCATATCTTCAAGATAAATCTGGAAGATAGATACTTCAGAATTGACTTTATCTGGTTCCGTAATATGGGTTACACATCCTGTAATATCTGAAATATGAAAATGTTTTAGTTGTTTTGTTCTAAGTGATCTTTGGAATATACAATATTTAGCACATCAATTTCTAATACAATCTGTTTAAATCAATGGGTTAAATATAAACAATGAATACCTGAGAAGCAAGGTGGAAGACTTGTTGAAGAACCACTGCCATTGAAAGGACTTTGAAAAAAACAATCATCTGGAAAATGCATTGTGCTACGATATTCGATCATTGCTTTAAATGAAGATTCCTTTGTAAAATACAACCTCAAATTGGAAGATGCAGTGCGACGCTCAGATCTAGCTGGTATGACAGTTGGATTCATCATGGTATACAGACAACCAATCTCAAGGTCTTTGCAAATATATGCAGAATCTTCATGGGATACATTTGCTTCCATAAGTTGTCCCTAAAGGATTTAAAATGTTACAAATAAGCTTAAAATAACTGTTTTGTGATAAGAGTAAACCAGTAGGTGTATAATGTTTATAAATTTACCTCTTTATCCAACCAAAGCATATGCATTGAGGTAATCGATTTAGTTCCATCTAACTCACATTCTGACCATATGTTTAAAAGTCTAGCCATGAGGAACCGATTGCTAGTTCCAAGTTGAAGTTCACAAAAGGTTATGGATTCAGCCATTACCTCTATAACCAAAAGAGAAACTGAGTCATTATATATAAAAGCAATCCGACAAACCTATTTTCAACTAATTGTAAGATACCGTGTGGGTCTTCCGACAACATTTTCGCTTTTGTTGTCGGCCAAAATAGCAAATCGGATTGTGATTGAGATTTGGGGCAGCAATAACTTGTTACTCCAACTGTGAAAGAAGACAAAATGAGAGATGAAAAGGAAAAAAATAAAAACAATAGAATGAGTATATAATACTTGCGTGGGTTTTGGCTTCTGATCTGGGTTACAAAATGGCGCTAGCACATGGATTAAAGTTTTGTACTCCATGTGTTAATGATTGTTGTTTCAGTACACGGATTGAATGATTTACTAAGGATAATGAATTGCATGGGTTTTGGCTTTTGATATGGGTTACAAAATGGCGCTTGGCAACAATCATATTGTCTTTTTTCTTATAGACAATATTAGTCCCTCAAACTCGCTGCAATTTTTTCAATTTAATGGCACCTCTGATCATTGGCCACACCCACATGTAATGAAACTCGCTGCAATTTCTATAATTTTATGGCACCTTAGTTTGATCATTAGCCACACCCACGTGTAATGAGAAATCACCTTGAATATATAATTTTATTATTTTACATAGATTGGAACTTGGAAGGTATTGACATTGATAATCACTATATGAGTAAATGAGGAGTTGATATTAGTTGTGTGGAGGAATTTGATTTTGTTCCCCTGTTTTTTGGAGCTTGAAGGTGGGTGCAAGAACATTATAGTTGATCTCTCAACTATAACATATTTATCGCTCTACGAGATAGTGGTGGCTGGATGAATGAATTTTGTTTTTATATTGGTTTAGTTTTTCTGGACGGATATATTTGGATGATGAAGAGTGAACTTTTTATGTACTTTTTGATTGTTGTTGAGTGTTTCTACTTTCTACATCTATGCATTCGTGATTTTATTAAATTGATGTTTATTTTTGTTTCGAACACCTAAACGCGCCTAAATAACCCTTAAGTTGTCTAGACATCAGTCAGGAGCCCAACGCTCACCTAGAAGTTTCTTGAACTTAGCTTTTTAATTTATCATCATATGTAATGCTTTGAGTTAAATCGACCAATATGCTCGGAAAATCTGTCTAAAACCTTGAGTTAAAGTCAGGCTCACATTCCTAGATCCCACTAATGTGTGCCAACCCGAAGTCCTCGAAGAGCCGCTGCTGTTGAATCCCACAAAACAAAGAATTAGAAAGTAGAAACAAATCATTAAAGCATTGCCACAAATATGTTGGAAATAAGCATTCATAATTTCGAGTTTCATCTTATTAGTTCATCAACATATTAGACCTGATCAACTCTATATTAACTTGATTGACTCCATTACAGCCGTTTAACACGTTCGACTTCGTTATCTTGTCGAATCGATAGCCATGTTGAGTCACGCACAACAGCTCCTAAAACCAAAAAGGAGAGCCCAAGGTTTAGGAGGTTCTTCTGCTACTACATCCGTTTTTGAAGTACGTGAGTCCAACACATGATTCAATTGAAAGTCGGAAGTCACCAAAATTTTAACAGTAGACTCCCGACTTCACACAGACTCTCTCCAAGAGAAAAACCAAAATTCCCACTTGGCGGAGGCCGGGAAAGTGACAACAGTCTCTGTTTTTTAAAAGAGATTCATGAGACAGCCCATTAGCTCCCGCCTTTTCCTCTCTTCGCTTGTCTTCTTCCCTTCTGCAGGTTGGTAGCTAACCCACATCTCTCCCTCTTCCCAATTTGGTGATGAAACCAAACCCCCAAATTTAACAGCTTTCGGGACATTTTCTTCCTTCTCCACTTCCACGGTCACAAAAAATGGCAGAACAACTTTCAAACCCCCTGAGTTCCCCTGATTTTTCTAGCGCAGTCCTAGTTAAGCAAAATCCTTTTCTTTGGCTGAACATGCCGATGGAGATACTACCTGTTTGGTATTTATACACACTCCCACTACCCCATTTTCTCCAGGCAATCCCAGTTCTAGCTCTCCAACTCCCCCTGTTTCCTGTAACCTGAAAGAAAAAACGAAAAACAGAGCATAGTCACAAGATGAAGCTTTACCTTGGAATTGCTATAATCCTAGCTCTCCTTGCCCTGTCCAATTTGAACCAAACCCTTGTCCACGGAAAGAAATCTTCGCATAGCAAGCATCAATTAAAGAAGGCGCTGCTCCATAAAGCCCACTTGAAAAAAGCTCTGCTTTATAAAAAGCACCACCAGAAGAGCCAGGGCGTGGAAGGGAACTGGGTTCACGCTCACGCCACTTTCTACGGAGGCGGCGATGCCTCTGGCACAATGGGTAACCAAATTTTTTTTAGAATCCCTGATTCCCCGAGTGCAATTGCCATCTCAATTTCAAAACCCTAGTTTCCAAAAAAAACCCAATTCTGGGATTCCACTGATCAATTTTTCTCCATCTCAATTTCAAAACCCTAGTTTCCAAAAAATCCCCAATTCTGGGATTCCACTGATCAATTTTTCTCCACCTTTACCTTCTTTTCCCTCCAGGGGGAGCTTGCGGCTACGGAAACCTTTACAGCCAAGGCTACGGCGTGAAGACGGCGGCACTAAGCACAGCTCTGTTCAACAATGGCAGAGCGTGCGGCTCCTGCTACGAGATCACCTGCGTGGAAGACGCCCAGTGGTGCATCCGCGGCGCGATCACCATCACGGTGACGAACCTTTGCCCGCCGAATTTCGCCGAGCCGAATGACAACGGCGGCTGGTGCAACCCTCCGCGGGAGCATTTCGACCTCTCGCAGCCGATTTTTCTCCACATCGCGCAGTACAAGGCCGGGATCGTGCCGGTGAAGTACAGGCGGGTGGCGTGCAAGAGAAAGGGAGGGATGAGGTTCACGATCACCGGGAGCGGGTCCTTCAATTTGATCCTGGTGAGTAACGTCGGCGGTAGCGGTGACGTGGTGTCGACGGCGGTGAAGGGGGCGACGACCGGGTGGATTCCGATGACGAGGAATTGGGGCCAGAATTGGCAGGCCAACACCGTTCTTCTCGGGCAGGAGTTGTCGTTCAAGGTCACCATCGGCGACGGGCGGTCGCTGGTTTCGCATAACGTCGTTCCGGCGAGCTGGGGTTTCGGCCAGACGTTCTCCGGAAGTCAGTTTTGACAAAAGTAAATACGCACAGTTGGAGTCCATTACGGGTCACTAAACTTTGAGCTTGAGGATAACAGGAAAATCAATTACAAAAAAAAAAAAATTAGAATAATTTCGTGGTTGTTGTCTAATAATAGTAGTATTATTATATGTAAAGATAATAAATTAAAGCATATAAATAACGTTTTTGAATCGACCTTTTACCGCTGTTACGCAAAATACACATCCATTGCGTAAAGGTTGCGAAACAATAGTTATTTTTTATGTAATAGTTGAATTGGAAGTGTTACTTAAGGCTTTCGTAGTTATTTAACACTTTACGTAATGCGAGAGTATATCATTACGTAAAATAACCTTCCATTACGCAAGGCATTTGTAATAACGCTTTACAACCGTTACGTAAAATACACATACATTACGTAAAGGTTACGCAACGATAGTCATTTCTACATAATAGTTAAAAACAAAAGCGTTACATAGGCTTCCGCAATGACTTGTCACTTTACGTAACACGAGGTTAAAATTCATTACGTAAAAGGACTGTCGATTACGTAAGACTTCTGTAATTACATTTTACAACTATTGCGTAAGATAAACATTAAGTAACCATTAAGTAATGACTATTGTATTTCATGTCAGGCGACATGTGAAACCTGTTATAATTGGTAAAAAAAATCAAATTACCTTACTTCAAGATGTTGAAGGAAATTCCGAATTCATATAGATGATCAAATGAGTCTAATAAAATTATTACCATTAGAAAGCATGGCGTACTATTTTGTAACCGGAGGTTGCAGAATGAATTATTGGTGAGAAGTTTGCTTGTGAGGTGGTTTGGACGATGAATTGTAGTTGATGAATTTGATTTAAATGTATTATTTTAGATAATTGAATTTAATTAATCCGTTTGCCAGTAAAAAGTTTAAATGAAATAATTTGATGTGGAAATTTTCAAATTGATTCATTTTTAGTCAAATATCAATTGTCTAAGTAGTTATAATTGAATCGTTTCATAAATTGATACAATTGATTAAATTATCTCATTTCTTAATTATCCATCCAAACATCTTTTGATTAATAGATTGGATGCGAAATTCTAATTAATCAGTTTGACTCAATCATCTAATTTTGAGACGGGTGAGCCAAATTGACCCGTTTGTCAATATAAATTTGAATAAAACAATTTGACTTGAAATTTTTTGAATTGATAAGTTTTGTGGGAATCACAATTGTCTTGGGGGTAAATAATTCGAATTCTCTCTTTACAAATTGCTCATTTTGTAAAATAAGACAATTAATTAAATTATCTCGTTCCTCACTTGCTCAGACCATATACCTACCATTATTATGAGTTATGAAAATTAGAACACAAAACCTTTAAGTATCACAGACTCTAACACCAGAAAAATTTTAAATTAAATCTTATACCATCAAATAACACTCTTTAATTCTAAGAGTACGTCAAACATGGATATAATTAGTGATTGCCATCTTCAAGGGACGTCCGAGTTAAGTTTGTTATCATGTTTTTTATTCATTTTGACCTATATATTAACTGTTGAAACTTTGGGTTTGGCATATTTGTCAGAAATGTTTCTTACATGTTCATAGAGTCCAAAAGCACGTAGTTTGTTGCATGCACGTTTCTTCCTCCAAAAAAGAAAAATAAATGCGTCCACAGCATGTACATCCATATTAATTAATTAATATTATATGGGGGGTGCTTATTCCTATTTTCACTTGATTGTTACTTGTTAGTGGTTGTTAGTCTACGAAAATACTTGGGGTTGTTTGGATCAGGAAATTTAGGTAGGAATTTTGCCACAATTCTTGATCATGAGAGATTTTAACAAAATTATGCGTTTGTGAAGTATAGGAATTGTGGACTTAAGGAATTTTGAAATTCCTAATTGAGAGGTTTTTAAAATAGCTGATTGCCCCCAGCTATTTCAAAATCCCTGATATATTTTTTATTTCTTCCAACCTTATCCTTCTGTTCTTCCAACCTATTCTCCACTACAACCTATTGACTCTCCCATTTGTTCAATCTTCTCCGACCACACCCACCTCCGACGACAACTTCTTTTCCCCAAACCCAGCAACAACTTGTCTCCGGCGTTGATTTTTCCTCCGGCGATCTCTGTCTTCCTCCGGCGATCTCAGGATTGGGCGATTTCCAGTGAATGAGTTGAGCGGATCTCTTCGATTTCTTCTCCGATTTCTATGGATCTGCTACCCTTCCGCTAAGCCTGGATAATCGACGAGGTTCAAGAGCACAGGACGTCGATTCTCCTTCTTCCTCCTCCGAACCAGTTCTTGCGACTACCGTCTTCTTCTAACCGGCGGCGACTCGAGCTTCTCCATTTTCCGATTCCGAACTCCCACTGGCTAAGAGAGTAGGTGCGATGATTGGGCATTCTATGTATTGGCGATTTCTGGTAAATCGAGGCGATTCCGATAACGTCTTCTTCTTCTCAAACCCGGCGACGGTTGGACGTTCTCCGGTAACGTCTTCTTCTTCTCAAGCGGCCAGCGGCGACATGCAGTAGCCCAGAGGGACTCTTGCGACGGATCTGGCTGCTTCCCCCTTCGATTGGTGGCGGCGGATCTGACGCGACGACGACGAGAATCAAAGAAAGAGAAGGAGATTGAGGATGCCTGTGGATGCTTGCTGATGGGAACTACTATATGTCTCTGGTGGGGATGCTTGCGACGGGAATGACGATGACCAAATCTGGTTCCTTTTCTGAATAGAGATGGAACAACACGATGAACAATGAAAGGGCAAATTAGAAATTTGACATTTCTTATTAAAAACCTATTTTTCTAAACAAACAAGAAATTTAATACAAATCCTTAATTACAAATACCTGGGTTTTCAGTTGAGGGATTTGAGACTAAATCCTTCACAAATCCCTCAAATTAAATTCCTTAATCCAAACGACCCCAAAAGGTAGCTCCAAGGAAACGAATAATGTGTCTCCACTCTCCCTACTATTTCATCAACAAAAAGAAAAAGGGTTAATTGTATGGTTGGTCACTGAGATTACCAAAAACGTTCATGTTTGGTCACTATAAATATTTAAATCCAATCTTGGTCACTCAAATTAGTTAAACATTCCATGTTTGGTCACTCTCCGTCCAACTCCGTTAACTTTGTCTGATGTGGCAGTCAACCCTCAAAGTTGACCGTTAAGTCAGTGACGTGGCAATTAAAAAATAATAAATAAAATAAATTTTAATCTTCTACCATTTCCAACTCATTTTCACATTAAAGTAAAATAAATAAAACAAAAAAAAAATTATAATTACAAATAAAGGGGTGATTCCTCCCTCTCCCTCTTCAACAACGAGGAATTATTCGCTACGCCCGGCGTACTAGGGGTGGGCGTTCGGTCGGTTCGGTTCAAACCGAACCGAACCAGTATATGCCGATTTTCCGAGATTACAAATACCCCAACCGAATTCGAACCGAACTATATTTCGGTTCGGTTTGCCCGAACCGAAATATAGCTCGGTTCGGTTCGGATTTTTCTGTCAAAACCGAATTTATGCAGCGTGAAGACTTCCCCTCTTTGCCTTCAGCCCTTCACCCATTACCTCGCTCTCTCTCCTCTTTTTGCTCTTCTCCGCTTTTTCTCCCTCTCTCTAGCTATCTAACTCTGCCTCTTTCCCAATTCCATAAGCAGAGCAACAATTAGCCAACTCTCTCTGCCTCTTCGTCGTTCCCAGCTCCCACAAAGCCCAACCCTCACTGACTCTTCGTTCTCCCCCAAATCGATTTGTCTCATCTCCCTCTATCCCCGACCATCGTCTCCGCTCCCCGAATCCCCCAACCCCAACCATGCATCTCATCCTCCACCTTCGACAGAGATTCAAAAATCTCCCCCAATCACCCCCAATCTCATTGATTCTCTCTCATCGACTCACTGGACACTGGCCGAGGCTATCAATGACACATGCACCGCCGGGGTCAGCAGAGGCCACCGATGACACATGCGCCGCCGCGAGAAGTAAGAACAGATCCAGACTCTCCTTCGATTCAACATTTGTTTTTGTTTTTGTTTGATTCTGTTTTGTTCTAGGTTTGCTAATCTGAGGTTTTGTCTTTTTTGATTTGGTTGGTTTTGATTATAAATGGCCGGCGATGAGAAGAGAATAGAGAGAGGGAAAGGATATGACTCCAATGGCCGGCCAGAGGAAGTTGGCGGCGGTACATCCACGGCAGGGGATGGCGACGGCAAAGAGGCAGGATGCTGGTTCTGGAAGAAGAAGGAAGAAGAAGATATGATTTTGTAATGGGCTAGGGTTTTAGTGGCAGAGAGTGGGCTTGGGGTTGTGGGCTGTATGTGTGTGAGGGTGGGCTTGGGTTGTGGGATGTGTGAGAGTGGGCTTGTAAATGTGGGTTGTGTGTGAGAGGGAGAGGAATTTCGGTTTGTTCGGTCGGAATTCGGAATTTCGGGTTCGGTTGGGCACACCCTGGTTTCCGAAGTATTGGGTTTTGCCTTCCGAATTCCGAACCGAATAACAAAAGTTCGGTTTCGGTTCGGTTTTTTTCAGTTTCGGTTCGGGTCGGTTCGGGTTTACCGAACCGGTTGCCCACCCCTACGGCGTACCACGTAAGCCTGCCACGGTGGTGCTCCAAACAAATAAAAAATTCACACGTGTAATGTATTGGTTAAAGTAATAATTTATAACTCCCACTTTCCTCTTTCCTTCTTCTATTCCGCGGTTCCGTTTCCATGGCTCCAGAGTTTTCAATCCAAAACACACAGTAGATTGGTGGACGTTTCAATTCTCATCATCTTTTATATGAAATCAAAAATCAACATCATTAACACTTTTGTTTCCGCGCAATTAATTTAAACAAGGTTTAGGTTATGGCGTTGGTTGAGAGATGAAGAACCTAGGAAATTAACGCAGCAGGTGAAACAGAGACACTTCCCATTGCCGATTAAGAACCACAGTCCGGCGCCAATTAGAACCGCGACTGAGTGCCAATTTTCCCTCAACGATGAATACCATGTTTCCGATCCAGAACCACAATAGAGGGTGATTATGTCTTCTTAACAAGCAACTGATGAGCCCAAAGCAAAGAGCGACAAAGGGGTGTGTTCCGAGACAAGAATACTGAGTAGGGGAGAAAGAAAATCAAATCTTCTTTCCCACTTATATCCACACAAAAGAAGACTTTAAATTAAATAAATCAGGGATTGCAGAGTCAATAGAAGGGGTTGAAGATGAATAAGAAGTGTAGCCAATAATTCCTCCTTCAACAACTCCATCAACTCCTCCCTCCCCGGCGCGGCCATCTCCGCCTGCTGCGCCCTCCGCTTCCTCGACCTCTCCCAGAACTTGAGGGTGTCAAATTAATTCAAGGGCCTCCAATGACCTTCTTTCAATTTCTAAAATTAATAAACAAATTTATCAAGCTTATAAGGGTGTCGAATAAATATAAATTGCTAAAAACACTATTCTGGAAATTTCTGACGTTTTAGTGACCATCTTTCTGTTCGCCACGAAAAGCCCGGAAACCCGTAACTAAATCTCTTGATTTGAAACTACAAGAAAACTCATAAAAAAACTCGATCTAATCCGAAGGGAATCACGATTCCTTACCTCCAAAACTATTGGGACGAGGTCTAATTGAACCAAGCTCGATCCCCTTCTCAAAAGTACTTAATCGCCAACTTAATTTCAAGGTTTAACAATCTAGAGTTACTACTAGCGACCAAAAGAACGTAGGAACGACTAGGGACGAATATCCTTACCTTCCTAAGACGTATGAAATATTAGAAGTCGAGAGGAATAGGGAGTTGGGGAGATTTTCGTCGATATCTTTGCTTGCCGGCGAACGGGGAATAATCCAGCGGTTACTTCCTCCTCCTTCCTCTTTGCTCCTCTCCTTTCTTTCCTTCGTGTTCTGCTCGTTTAGAGCGTTTGGGGCGATTTGGGAGATGGAAATAGGTGAGCAGAAAAATTGACAACTTATATATCAGGTCAAAGTGAACACGGGCACGGGACACGGCCGTGTTCTTACCCGTGTTTGCCTCAAACTTCGTGCCTCATTCCGCCAGTCCGTCGTCCTGTCCCGATACCTCAAGTGACACGACCAACCAACACGGACGTGCTTAGGTCGTGTTACGTTTCATCTTCAATTCTTCCAAAACGACTCGTCCACCAACCCCTTATCTTTAAAACGAGCATTTAACGGAACACGATCTAATGACACGGGCGTGTTCATTGACTGTGTTCAAGCCTCCATTGTCTCATTTACGGCTTTGTCAAAACGGCACGCCTAACCGAACACGACCTAGCAACACGGTCGTGTTTCGGGCCATGTTCTAGCATGTTCCTCCTTCTTCAATATTTTCTTAAACTCAACCGTCTCCCAACTCTCTTTTGGTCGAACCTTAATCGAACCCAAATCCAAACTTAGGGTGTTACATTTCCTCCCCCCCCCCCCCCCCAACAATTTCGTCCCCGAAATTGGAACTAAGAGACGGGAACGCAGACAACCGCTAAAAAGATGCTTAGATGCTTCATTTGACTGAACTGATCGACTGGGATATAACATTTCCCTCCACCTAAAACAAATTCGACCTCGAAATTGTCCTCATAAGAGGAAGTGTTTTAATTCCTTAAAAATAATGGGAGTGGGTTATCCAAATAGTAGAAGGTAAATTTCTGTCATTAAATTAATTTTAAGGGCTATTATTTGTGCTAGCGCCTAACATGACACTATAAAGTGGCATCTCTATGTAGTATTTAATCTAATCATCCACATTCAAATTATTATTTCCATATTAATTTAATTTATTTTCAAAATATCTTATGTCAAAAGGTGGATAAATTAAAAATGAACAAAGATTATTCACAGGCTCATACTAGGGATGGCAATTGGCTGCTTTGGGTGGGTTTCTCTAAACCATTTTCATTTTCGAATAATCAAAGGAACACTCATCTCATATCCATGCTGTGGAGGTTTTGTATCCCTGTCCTCATTGTCGCGATTTTCGGGTATCCATAATATCCGTTCATGCATCCAACTAGGGATGGCAGTGGGTAGGGTCGGGTGCGGGTTTACCGTATACCAACTCCTAACCCGCCGGGTAGAGCCTTCTAAAATACCCGACCAAATAACCACCGGGTATGAAAATTATATAACCATACCCTACCCACCGGGTAACCACGGGTATTCGGGTAACCATGGGTACGAATCCTAAACTATGAACTTATACACATATATGCACATACATATTGTTGTCCATTAAAAATTCTCAATACTTCTAATTGTTCTAGCTTCAACAATCCACACAAATAAAAACAACAAAAACATAATAATTGTTCTTGCTTCTACAATCCACACAAACATAATAATCGTCTACATCTTCATCATCAATAATGGTAGCTAAACTAAATTTCTCAAGCTAAACTAAATTTCTCAAGGGAAATGGACACTTTGATTAGCGGGGCGGGTATAACGGGGCGGGTATTATCGATTACCATACCCGTACCCTACTCTTTATTTTGAAACCGGGTATTACCCGTACCCGCCCCTTAACCCGTCAAAGCGGGTAATTACCCTCGTTGACCGGTTACGGTCGGGTAGGGTACCCATGGTTACGGGTTGGATTGACATCCCTACATCCAACATTACTATTTTAACATGTAGATTTAATTATAACACTAAATGGACGTAATAAATCATAAAATCAACAAAGAGACAACTATTTTAATACGAATTTAACAAATTCAATCGTAAAACTCCAATTCTCCATTAGAAAAGGTTCAATATTTACCAAATTATTAATCTACGAGTTCGACATATTGACTAAGCAATAAATGACTAATTTAATCTTGTTACAAGGACAAAGTGATAGAGTAAAGAGTGAATTGGAAGGAAAGAAATTAAGGTTTGGTTTGATTGACCACTCAGTTACATTTCAACTCTTTATTTAGTTTGGTTATCCTTCTTTCCATTGACATGTTACATTTTGATTTTTCTAATATATTTTGAATAAGTAGTCTTGGTAAGACAGATATGTGTATGGTATATAGGGCAGAGATGCTAAAATTATACTCGTTTCATCCTCATCAGACTTATCGTAAATTTTACTCATACCTGTCTCATACTTAGTAAATGTAGAGATTTTCCACGAGCGGTTAGGTATTGTGGTTTGCCATCGCTGCTCGGGGCCTAAAAATAAAAGCAACAAAACATAGAATTTCTTCTCCCTTGAAGCCAATTGTACTTCTGATGATAAAACAGCAACATTCATATTCATACCTCTATGTTTGTTAATGAACTAAGCCGCTCACGAACGACTCTATGTCCGACTCGAGAAAAACTCGTTCGACACTCAATTCATCTTAATCGAGCCGGCTCGCGAACAAGCTCGTTAACTAAACGAGCCGAACTCGAGCCATACTATGTTCAGCTCGAAAGCTCGCGAACAAGCTCATTCAACGTTTTGGCATCATAAAGAATTTAAATTCATGAACTAGCCCTTCTAGCATTTGCACAAGCATTTGGCGGGCAATCAGGCTACCACGGTGGTAATGGCGAGATTCAGGGTAAGAAGTATCATGATGGCAAACCACCAGGCCACAATGTCAATTGTCAAACCCATATCCAACGCATCATGGAGGAAGTCCGCATCCTGTCGACAAACCGAGACATAGTCTTCATGCCCACCAACCTCTAGGTCGATGGATGACCGGCCATGCCACATTCTACGGTGGTGGCGAGGCTTCTGGCAGGGCACTATGGGTAAGTTTTAGCATCGTTGAAAAAGATAACTACAAAAAGACTCTGTGAACGTAAATTCTATCTCCTCGACTCTTCATGATTCTACGTTTGGCTAATGGAGTTCCATACGGCTGAGAACTTGGCAAATCAAGCAATGTCTCATACCTTTCCCAATCACAAATTGTATACATGTTTCATATGTAATAAAACACAACCTCTTAAACAGGAGGGGCCTGAGGATACGGGGATCTGTACAGCGAAGGCTATGGCACAAAGACAGCAGCTTTAAGCACAGCCCTGTTCAACGATGGCAAATCCTGCGGACCATGCTTCCAGCTGAAATGCACACACGACCCACATTGGTGTCTCCACCCAGTGGAGGGCTAGGATGGTGCAATGCGCCCAACAAGCACTTTGATGTCATCCAGCCGATCTTCCAGCACACGGCTGCTTACAAGGCAGGGATAGTCCCAGTTATGTACACGAGGATCGCCTGCAAGAGAAAAAGAGGGATCAAGTTCACCACTACTGGGAATGCTTACTTCGACCTTGTGCTTGTGACGAACGTCGGTGGTGCTGGAGATGTAGTGGCCATGTGGGTCAAGGGTTCAAACCATGGTGAAAAGTGGCTGCCCATGGTGAGGAACTGGTGCCAGAATTGGCAGACGAATGGTTACCTGCAAGGCCAAGGGGTGTCTTTCAAGGTTATAACTAGTAATGTTCAAACTGTCACTTCGTTCAATGTTGCTCCTAAGAGCTGGTCTTTTGTGCAGACTTTTGTTGGCAGGCAGTTTGGGCAGGCTCACCCTGGCCGCCAAAGAAGGAAATGAAATGAAACACAGAAGAGACATCAGATATATATTGTACTTGATAGGCTATTTGATTATTGGTATAGATCGTCTGCTGATAACTTTTCTGGTACATAACCAAGTTCTACAGATTCTTCACTCATGGGAAGTTTGGAACTGCTATCAAAGAGTTCATTACTGCATTAGGCTATAAGAGCATGGAAACTAAACAAATTCATTCATACAGACATAAACATGAAAACTTGTGGCATGAACCAAAACATGTGGCATTTCACAAGAAGGGTTCATGCCTCAATTCTTTCAACCAATGTCGCAATTCCATAAGTGAGAAGAACTGCAATTTCACTTGTGGGCATGTGGGAAAGGCAAATCTGACATATTCTCAAACATTCATTCACTTGAAAACACACATACAAAGTTTCCGATCTAGTTTCTGATTTCGCCTAAAACTGACATTTGACATATTCTCAACATCTCGAATGCTACATTCCACCAATTTACTAATCTCACGCCTAATCCAACCACCCCCTTCATCCATGTGAACTCCCAAACAACCAAATTACATTCCATAGAATTACTTATCGCCTCCAAGAATCCACTTGGGTAGCCTCTTCTTAAGCTCTGCTCCACTGCCGCCAATCTTAGAAGCTGCACAATCTGGAGAAGAAAAAAAACTCTCTATACAGTAACGCAGAGCACCATTCTGTTAGTTTAAATCGCATCTTAATGCAGTAGAATAGCGGCTCCTAAAGAACAGGCAAAGTCAACAAGTAAGAAAACAAAACCATTCACAAACGATTGCATAACCCTAATAAGATCGATCTTAGAAACCAAGTTCTGCATATGAAAAATAAAACGAAAAAGACGCGAACTTTATATTTTATTTTAAAAGGGTTTTGGGGGGTTTAGCCCGCGACGCCATCATAGCCGAGTCGAGAGATTTTCATCGACGATGGGCTCAGCCTGCGGGCAGTCTTCACCGCGGGATTGACGAACCTCCACAGCAAGCCAAAATGGGAACACCGCCACCGTTATCCTACCACCGCAAAGAGCCGCCAACAAAGACCATTGGAGATGGGCAGGGTAGCTCGAGAAAGCGACGGAGAGAAACCAGAGACGGAGCAGAGTTGCCGATTAGGCGACTGAGAGATTCGTTTCCCGCTCAGATAAGATCAAGTAGTGTTGATTTGCTGATGGGATGGAAGTTCTGTTTTTATAGAGGCGATCACATGTTAGAAGTTAGAACCCTAAAATCTCAGTCTTGAAATTCCTACTGGATCGGATCCGACGATTTTCAATAGAGGTCGACATTTTGGGCCCGGCGCATCTAGTCATCTACTAATGCTCGTTGGGCTTTGAAAAAGATCTCAATTTAACTTTTTGGAATATAATAGAGATTTTGATAACGGATGGCAATTTGAATCCGTCCTGTCAGGTATTAACCGACCATTATTAGCGTGGGACGAGGCATGGTATTTATTTTTGACTAGTCGTGCTTCGTTTCGTTCTTAGCTTATTATATCTCAATTTCTAACAATATTTATTCATATTTTTTCTATATTTTTCTTCAATTAGTTAGACTTGATTTTTTAAGTAATTAGACTCAACTACCCATTATATTACTATTTTCATTCATAAAGTGTTTTCGCTTCGTTTTATCGTAAAAAGTACAATTTTAACGTGTATTTTTTTCAAATAGCATGTAAGAGTGGGTCGACCCGCCATACCCCATACTCGCACTGGTATTACCTACACGACCCATGCTTGGTGCAGAGTGGATAAAGGTATTGAGATACCCTCCCAATTGACCACACATAGATTTTAGTATTTATCACTCCCATATTCGATATATTTTCCTCTTCTATCAATTGCATCTTTAGTAGTTTTGACTATATTTCACATGCAAATCATAACTATTTAATTAATATGTTTATAATAGATCTTGAGTATGTTTTTGTACTATGTGATGCCTTGTTTGTTTTATTTTCAAGGATATAAATCACCTGAGATGAGTATGGATCGTCAAGAGACCTAATGGATCAGAAGGAGGACTAGAATACAAGCTCATTGCCCCAAACATAGATGGATTCTGACACAAGAAGCTCAAGTTATGGACCAGATTATAGTATTTTGAAGAGCATACGGGTACTACGAAGTCCGATTGAGCTAAAATTTCGAAAACATGTCCATGAGCGCAAGATAAAGTTGCCCAAAGAATGTGTCGATTTTGAGAAGAATTGAGAGCAGCGAGTCCAACCGCCGCTTGGCCCAAGTCCTTTAGGAAACTTCTTCAACAAGTAGCTTTGTCCCCAAGTTGAAGGAAACCGACTTCAAGTAGGATAAGGAAGGTTTTGGCTAAATTCTAGGAGGAAAAAGACTAGACCCCCCCCCCCTCTTGTAACTAGTATAAATAGGAGGCTAGACTAGAGGTTATGTACACACTTTACGTCCACTCTACCCTAGGGCATGAGTTAGAAAGCCAAGGAGAGGAAGAGGAGCTCGATGAGGATGGCTTCATCATCTACGGTGATGTCTTCTAATCCTTCTTTCTTTAGCAAGCTCGATTTGTTGAGGGATGCAATTCGATGATGCTTTGTGTATTATTTCTATGATTTAATGAGATGCTTATTGTATAAGTATTCTTATCATTGATGTTTGATGTCAATCTATTCTTGTTTCAGCTATTGCTTGAGTTATTCGGTGCTATGGTTATTATATACTTTGGTTGATCGATGCTTATGATTCTATTACGAATGCTACTATAGTATCTCGTTTACTACTATTATGGGCAACAAGGAAACTAATCCCGTTTAGTAGGCATCTTCTTATGTGTGTATAGGAGGACTACCTACCCTTCTATGCATGACTAAGAACGATGCTTGATTCTTAGATCATTGATGATATAGACCATCATTATGGTTCGTAAAATCCCACAATTAAATGTGTGCTATCCTAACTTCCTTGTTCTTCATTGATTAGATTATGGCATGAAGCGAAAGCATGCTTTAGCTAGGCAAATCTCTATCGCAAGCCTTAGTGGAAGGGATAGGACATCTTTAAGAACAAGCATTGAAGCATCTTGTTAATGAGTGAATGATCATCTAGAGTTACTTCCGAAACATTATTTTTTGTTGCTTCCATTGTTTGTTTTCTTGCCTTATTTGTTCCTTTGTTTGCATAGTAGAGTAGTAGCACGAATAGGGCACCTAAACCCGCATCATATTTACTTTTCCTTGCATCTAAATTTGAGCTCAATAGGTTAGGTTAGAGTAGTTGCAATCAAAAGACCTCGTGAAATACAACCCTAGGGCATCCTAGGATTTATAGTTTGATTGCTACATCACTAGCCCCACCCATTTTTCATCACTAATTTTGGGTTGTTCCCGTCGCTAACTTCTAGGAAACTACGACAAAATGTCATCATCATTTTCCCTACACAAGAATCACATTCTTTAGGATTCTTTTTGGGTCAATTTATTTTCAAAGTCGTGGGTATCCCTCCAGCACGTTTCCCCAAAAAATACAGATACATTTGTGGGTTCCCCTTATGTTCTTTGTTTCTTTATCTCTTTAAACTATATCGGGTGCATGTTTTAGTTACTAGCTTCTGTTGTTAGAAACAAGCCAATTGTTATGAACATGGCCCCAATCATCCAAGCCAGAAATGAAGGATCAACTAGAAGCATCAAATGCTTCGAATGTCTCGGACGAGGTCACAAGGAAAACTAGTGCCCCAACAAGAAAGCTCTAGTTCTGAGAGATGGAGAAAACTATTCAGAGGAAGAGGATTAATATAAGCCAATGGGGAAGGAAATCGATTCTGATGATGATGAAGTTCATGAGCACATTATTGCTGATATTCCTCTAGTAGGTAAGTTTCTTGGAGTTAATCGTAGGGGGTGCTCTCCCTTGAATCTCTAGTGGAACAAGAACTACGAGATAACCTATTTCATACCCGCTGCCTGATGGATGGAAAGTTGTTGTATGTGGTGATCGATGGTAGTAGCGTCACTAATGTAGTGAGTCTTGATGCAGTCAAGAAGTTGGGGTTGAGTAACCTTAAGCATCCACAGCCTTGCAACCTTCACTGGTTGAACGAATATGAAGCCATCAAGGTGAGTATCCATATGAAGTCTGGTGTGATGTTGCTCCAATGCAGGCTGCTCATATCTTATTGGGTCGACCGTGGCAATATGATCATCGAGCTACTCACGACGGAAGACAGAATAACTACCGGTTCAAGCAAGGCGATCAGAAGTTCATGCTCAAACCAATGTCGCCAGCTGAAGTTCGAGAAGATCAGCGACAAATGGAGTTGAATTGGTCAAGAGAGAAAGGAAATGGAAGTGGCACAAAGTCGGAGGACGAAAGTGGGACACATCTTTTGATTTGAAGGCACATGTTCACTGCGCAGAGGAGAATTCCATTTGTACATTATGTTGATGTTGTCTCTTGCAGGAACACTCCAGCTTTGAGGGCTAAGCTTTTCCAATAAGGAGGGACTGATGCGAGCCTCCAAAGTGGCCTAAATTGAAGCGGAAAGAAGAGCGTGCCACGTGGGAGCAAGAAGGTGGACGGGGCCAACTTCCTTGTTGGTTTAGGATTTCTTTACTTACCTAAAAATATTTTTTGCTTGTTTGTTCTTGAAGCTGCGCTACTTTGATAAGTACGGATGTCGGATCCGTGCTCGTGTCATTAGGGTTTACAGTTAAAGTTTATGGTTATGTGTATAGAGTTCAGGATTGAAGGTTTGAGGTTTAGTGTTTAGGGTTCATGGTTATTTTTTATGGTTTAGCGTTATGGATTGAGTTAGAAAATTTGTAATATTGTTTGTGAGATTTCAACTATGGTACGAGTCATTCTATCCAACACAATATGGTAGTCCACATGTATGAAAATGTGGTTGACTGATTTCTCCAAGTAACGGTGACTTGGAAGTCACTTTACGCATACCCAAATATAAACAATACAAACTTTTTTATTTTTTTATTATTTATCCCATTAATTTTGTTTTCTTACAGTTGACTGATTTCTCCAAGTCATAGTGACTTGGAAGTCACTTTACGCATACCAAAAAAATATAAATAATACAAACTTATTTTACTTTTTTATTGTTTATCCCATTAATTTTGTTTTCTTATAAGTAGTTTAAAGTTTAAACCCAACAATTAAAATAACTACTAGAACCTTATTTGAAATTAATATTAGGTGAATTTTTGTTTCGCATTTAGACTATTCCAAAATGCAAGCATGAAGCATATGTGTTTTAGCTTGAAAAAACCCTTAGGCTAACTTCAATGGAGCCTCTATAAATGGAGGAGTCTCTATATTTGGGGAAAAGTTAGCTCCAATGGAGTCTCTATATTTGGGGGAAATCTGCAAAAGGATCCCCAAATTTGGGGGTGGAAATGGGGTTCCCCCAAATATAGAGACTCCCCAAAGCCCGCCACGTGACATTTCTTTTACTTTTTAAGATTTTAGGGATTAATTGGAATTTAATTAGGGGATTAGTTAGGGGTTTAATTAGATCAATCATTTTCAAGTGTTGTGTGTAAACCCAAATTATGTCCATAATTTTTCGCCAAAAAAAATTAGGTCTCAGAATTAAAAAAAATTCTATCGAAAAATTTGTATTTAAAAATGATGACGAACTATAAAAAAATTAACATGAACAAATTATATCAAGACTTCGATAAGTACAATTTTAAGTAAATGGAAAAACTTGAAAAATTAAGATCCCCAAATATGGAGATTGAAGCATTGGAGCAAAAGAAGAGAAAATGAGGGTCAATCCCCAAATTTAGGGATGAAGGCCCCAAATTTAGGGTTTTGCATTGGACTTGGCCTTAGGCGGCCTCATCCATCCCCGATCCGATTTGTTCACTACCTGCATGTCCAAATAAATTCGGATTTGAACATCAAAATAGTCATCAGTCTAGTAAAAGGCTCTTTGTGCCACATCTCCTTCTTCCAAGCTTTTTTTTCTCCTCATAGATATTCCAAAAGGAATAGCTAGATATGAAAATAAATACAACTCTTTTGTAGGGGAAAAAAAAAGACGTCGACCGACAAGATGTTGATTAATCAGTAAGAGAGTCTTTTTGCCACGATATGGACAACTCTTTGATACCTCTTCGACAAGAGTACATCCTTGACTTAGCTTTAACACCTTTTTATGGAGAAAGTCATGGAGCCCTACTATAAGATGAA